TTTTTGGTGGCTCCATATTGCCTCCAGCGCTGGTCTGGATTGCTGTCAGTATGTGGGAATCGAACCACTGCTCCCAGAGACTGACTGCTGTTTTTAAGCAGGCACTTAAACAACTGAGCTAGTGGGCGGGCCCCCACCTGTGTCAATCTTTTAATATACCAAATTAAGGGGCCAGGGAGATGGCTTATCAGCAAGGTCATGAATTTGATCCCCAGTACTGCAGAAAACAAGCAAACAAAACCCCCAGACATTAATTGGGAATTCTCGAAAACTCACTTGGTGTATCTAGCTCAAAATTCACCTTGGGATAACCAGAAGAGCCCCCTCAAGAGCCCATCTCAGGCCATGGACTACTGTCATGTTTAGAATAGGAGACATTGAACAGTAGATGACTAATGACCTTTTCAGTTTAAAAACTTACTAACACAAGCTGGCCTTGGTGGCACACACGTGTAATCCCAGAACTCCAGAGGCTGAGGCAGAAGAATCACTGTAAATTTGAGACCAGTCTGAATTGGTCAGACCAGTGTGACCCTTGTCTCAAAAAAAAAAAAAGTTGCTGGGCCAGGGAGATTACTCAGTAGAATAAATGCTTGTCTGACAAGCGCAGGGTCCTGAGTTCAATCCCTCATACTGGGGGAAAAAAACCAAACAAACACCAAAAAAGTTGTGACAGAGACATAGATTTGAGACATTAGATCTCATTCTGATTCAAGTTTCTCAGGGCTGGGATTTTAGCCCAGTGGTACAGTGCCTGCCTGGCAAGGATGAAGTCCTGATTTTGATTCTTGTAACAACTCCCCCCACCACCCACCAAGAAAAAATTTCTCAGATTACTCTCAAAAGCAAAAACTAAGGCCAGGTGTGGTAGCACAAACCTGTAATCCCAGCGCTCTAGGAAACTGAGGCAGGAGGATCATTGTGAGTTCCTGGGCTACAAAGTGAGCTCAAGGCCAGCCTGAACTGCATATCCAGACCCTGTTTCAAAGAGATCAGGGCTGGGGGCTGGGGAGATGGCTCAGTGGAATAAGTGCTTCCCTGGCAAGCACAAGGGTCCTGAGTTCAATCCCCGGTTCTGAAAACAAACAAACAAACAAAAAAAAAACAAAAAACCTGAAAATCAAAGAGATCAGGGCTGGCCCGATAGCTCAGCAGACTAAAGCAGCTGCTTAGGCAGTTGCAGGGACTGGGGTTCAATCCCTGACTTACTGTTCTGGCCCAGACTCCTGGGGCACACTGAGATGGCAATTGAGACTGGGCGTGGTGGTGCACTCCTGTAATCCCAGCGCTTGGAAGGCTGAAAACAGAAGGATCACTATGACTCCAATCTGGGTGGTGAGACCCTGTAGACCCTGTACTAAATTCAAAAATAAAAAAGTCAAGATGCTGTTTACTGCCTGGGAGAGATTTCTTAGAGAAAGTTGCTTCTCAAAGGTGATAGAATGAAGTCTATGCATCCATTTGTATACAGGAACATGTGTATAGTCACACATGCCCCAGCAAACCTCCCTCAGGTATACATGCATATGTGCACAGAATACTTGGGTAATAGTTGGAGCAGGCACGTTTTAAGTATTTTATTTTTAATGAAACTGACAACAGAGTAGATAACTTAATTGATACTATTTATCCTTAGCATTTGAGATCTTTGTGTTCTGAATATCAGCTTTTTTTCTTTAGAAAGAAAAGTTTGCTGATGCTTCAGAGGAGGCTGTCTCTGTTCAGAGAAGTATGCAAGGTATGTCTGGTGAAGGTGAGCAGCTCGCTTTATGGAACAACATGTTCTAGCTACCGTGAGTCCTGGAATAGCCTTTTTCCATAGTCCAATCTCACTGTCTTGGAAGTTCTGCAGCACATGAATACTGGTTTCTGTGGGCTTCCTAGAACCTCAACTCCCAATTCTTTTTTCTTTTTGACTTAAGGCAGTGTGCTATATTAAAATGTAAGTATTATTGGGAAAACTAAGTTTTTGCCATGGATGGCTTTATTGAGTTTTTAAAACAATTTAAAGAAAAAGAAAAAGCACCTTGTTAATATAGTTCAAGCTGGTCTTGAACTCACTGTGTAGTCCAGGCTGGTGTTGAACTCCTGGTGATCCTCTTGCCTCAACCTCCCAAGTCCTGGTATGGCAGTCGTGGCTACCGTCTCCCAGCTGCTTTATTGGGTTTGAATTGAAGGGAGGAGAGAGGTGTGGTAGGCAAAGGCTAACCTGGTCCCTCCATGCTGTGAAGGTGTGGTGAGGTGCAGAGAGCCGTACGCTTGCTTCTTGGTCACACGGTGCTGTGGCTCAGTGTGGGACTGTTAGTGCTTCTGTGTGCTCAACTTCCACAGCATGTAATTTGATTGGGTTGTAAGACAGCCAAGATCTAGTCAGCCTATTAAATATGGAACTTTTAATTACATCCTAAATAGAAACTGTGAATAAGTTGCATCAAAAGGAGAAAGAGTTTGACCAGCTGTCCTCTGAATTGGAGACATTGAGAGAAAACTTAGCAGGTAAGGAGCTGTCTCAGTGACTAATGATTAAATGTACTAGTTTTCCTAGGGTTTGAGATACTGTCTTACACATGTATTTATTCATGTGTGATCTGTTCATTCATTACACTGGTGGCATATGGTGAAATACTCATTTGAGATCTGTAACTGCAGCAAGTCCTCTTTGATCTGTTTTCAATGTTCAGAAAAACTAGAACCCACCATGTCTTACCAGCCCCCTGCTGATCTAGGTCCAGCCAGGGCAGGAGCCCGACTATAAGTGCTCCTTGATAGTGCCCTTGCTTCTTCCAGCTCTTCAACACAGCAGCCAGCGAAACCGTTTTCACAGGAAATCTGCTTATGTCACTTCTCTGCTCCAGCTAGTTGGACATCTCCCCTCCCTGAAAAAGCCGTGGTCTTGCCCCACCAGAATTTCTTCTCAGGCTCCCCTTCCCCTGGTGCATTCCTCTCCAGTCACTTGTCAGGTGTTTTGTCTGCTCTGCCTTCAAATCTTTGCTTAAATCCAAAGGGCCCCATTGAAGATTTTAACCTCTCCCACTCTTTCCCAGCTTTCTTTTCTTTCAGTTCTTCCTCTCAGCACTTTTTCTACCTGTTACATCATCACCACCACCATCATTATTACTATTTTAGTTTTGGTTTCTTTGAAACAGGAGCTTACTGTGCAGTTCAGACTGCCTTGAACTCAATATGTAGCCCAGAGTGGCCTCGAACTCAAGGTGGTCTTCCTGCCTCAGCCTTGAGCATGCTGTTTTCAGGCATGTGCCATCACACTTATTCTTTTTTCTGTTTGTTGTCTGTTGTCTTGGCTAGCATGTGTGATTTTCATGAGGATAGGTATTGCTATATGCAAGCAACCCTAAGAGCAAGGATGCATTCTGAGGGCCAGGGATACAGCTCAGCAGCATAGAGCCTGCCTGACAAGTGTGAGGCCCTAAATTCGAGTTTTGGGACCCCCCCAAAAAATGTGTTCTGTACATTTTTTTTTTGAATACAATTCCATTTTTCCCTATATATTCAGATATGGAGGCAACAATTAGAGAGAGAGATGAAAGAGAAGAGTACTTGGTAAAGGCAAAGGAAAAATTGGAAAGCGACATTGCTGAGATAATGAAGATGTCAGGAGATAATTCTTCTCAGCTGACAAAAATGAATGATGAATTACGTCTGAAAGAAAGGTATGCATGCAGAGAATCAGTGGAAGGTGTCTGCTTTGTATTTGGCTCTGTAGCAAGATCTAGGTGTGGGAGGTGACAGACAAAAAGCTGAGGGTTGCTGTATAAAGTTTCCTATCTCTGTTCCCTTTTGTGTGTTTGTACATACTGGGGATTAAACCTAGGGCCTTACACATGCTAAGCAGTGCTACCACTAAGATACAGTGCAGACCCCCTACCCCTTTCTAATACTGCCTT